ACACACAAACCAAACTCAGACTAAATACATAACGAGGATACATGAGGAGATAAAGTGTAATTTCCCATTTTTCTGGACTCTGTGAACATATTACCCTGTAATATTGTTGCTGTCAGGGATGTCTCTTTTCTTCCTAGCGTTGCCATAGCCACCCGTGATAATAAGGGCTGGGACTGCAGAGAAAGCATCCATGATAAGAACATTACATGTGATGTGAATACATAAAGTATGTTGCAAAAACGGGGCCTCATACATCTAAAATGGGCATGTGGTTGAAATGTTCATGAATGTAGGATTCTCTGTAGATGCACTACACAAAAAAGAAAGAAAGATAAAATGACAGCCTGGCAAGCTCAGAGAAACAGCATCATCAGATATCTAGGGGCAATGTCATCAACCACACTGCATGTACCACTACAGTATGTCTAAAGGCCATGCAACAGTATCTCCATCACTCTTTTTACCCTGAAACATACAGTCACCACATTGCAGTATTCAGTACAACAAATATTTAATCCTTATGCATATAACAACAAAGTAACCTAAGAATTTTTTTTATGACCCATATTAATTAAATTATTCATGCCTGCAGATACAGGATTATCACAGTTTTTATATTCACTAAATCTACACTAATTCTACTATCTAACACTGCTGACATATCTCAAATGTCAATAAGGCAGTAATAAAGTACATTTTCTCAAGAACTTTACTTAAGTACAATTTATGCTATATTATACTTCTACTCCACAACATTTGGTCAATCAGGTAAATATTGTACTTCACTTCACTACATTTATAGGACTGCTTTAGTTATTAGTTACTAAGATTTTACATACAAGTCATATGGCCAGCGCATTAAATATTATGCACTGTTGTAGACTAAAGGCTTTTTTACTCACCAAGTGAGTTATGACAGTGCCCTTGCTGAGTCCAATACTCTGCACAGCCGGCGTGCTCCTCCAGATGGGGACAGGGTTTTCCTGCATTGAGCGGCTCCTGCAGGATAGTCCTGCTCCGCCTGCGGACCGTGGCCCTGCAGGGCTCGGCACAGCCTGACCACTCTGTCCACTCACTCACCACACAGGACACCGCTGAGGGGAAAGAGACAGAGCACATACAGCTTTCTCCTACGCACTTCACAGCCCGTTCTCATTCCCAGGTCAACAAATAGGCTACAGATGTGAGTGGTGCTCAGTTTGTTGTGACCTGCAACTTCACTGCTAGATGCCACTAAATCCTACACACTGGTCCTTTAAAATTAGCGTAATAGTAATGTAATAATAGTAACAGTACATAATAGTAATATGCAATAATAAGTAATGTATAGTAATAATAATCAGATAATATAGCAGCCTATATGATACACTAGCTTCACAATGACAGGGGCCTTTCTAGTGCCTAATGAGTACTTTTGGTACTTTAGTAAGCTACTTTTTGTTGTTAAAGGTGTGTAACATTTAGGAAGATCTATTAGCAGAAATGGGATATATTATTTCATAGGTATGTTTTCATTAGTGTATAATCACCTGAATATAGGAATAGTTTTTTTGTTCCCTTAGAATGAGACGTTTTTTAACTACCGACGCTGCAGGTATGTTCACATGGAGCCCAGAATGGAAAAACCCTGGATCCAAATGTGGCCGTTCATGTTTTTTGCAACCACCTTTGCTTTGCCCTGGTGAGTGGGTGAAGCAAGGGAGTTGCAATCTCCAACTACACCACTAGATGCCACTAAATCTTAACTACACACTGGTCCTTTAAGTAACGTTTTCAATGCAGGGGTATTTTTAACTTTACTTAGACCTAGATAAAATATATCTGAATATCTCTTTCACAACTGGTCTTAAACAAACTTCACTGATATCATCACTCTGCAAAGAAGAACATAAAGTAAAGTAATATGTGATAAACAAAAGTTTTCCTATCAACACAAACCCACCTGGGCAGACTGTCTCATAGTCGTGGCAGCAGTCCAGGGTGGACACACAGGCTTGGTCGCAGTAGCAGGTGCCATAGGACCGGTCAGACCTCCATCCTTTGCTGATGCATGACGGGTCCCTGCCGGTGCAACACAGACCCGTTTCCCGACAGCCCGACTGACACGGACCCACGAGGAATAAAGACACTCCGAGACAAACCAAAGTGACAGAGCTGCTCCTCCAGACTGTCATCACGAAGGACCCAACACAGCATGCGCCTCAACAAGTTTAGTTAGTTTAGTGCGCTATAACTGAACCCCACTGAGCAGCAACACCTGTCCAAAGTTATGCAACAGAGGAGTGCTGTCCTGGTAAAGTCATCCACTGTGGTCAGGTGGGTCAGCACTGCGAGCATCAGGAGCTGAAGCTGCTCGGTGGATTGGAAGTCATTCATGTGTCAACTCTGGAGGCTCTTAAAGACACAGTTCACCACTGTAGGTAAAGTGATGGGCAAGACTGAACAAGAAACCCACGCGGCTCAGTTTAGTGTGGCTATGTAAGACCAATTAGGCAATTATTAGATCCGATCTCTTAGACCAAATTAATATATACATCATAGTAACGTCATTCATGGCTTTATGTCTATGTTCACAAGATGTTAGTTAACCGAATGCATTGCTTTTCTAATCTTGTCCAAGCATCAGATCTCCTTCCACTGCATTTATATTTTTGATACAGTGTGTCCTGTGTAAACACTCTAACACTAATGTAGAACGTACTATGTGCAGAAAAGACAATTATAAGAAACACTGAAACAGAATAAAAAGTAAGATATAGAGCCCTTACTGAGCTGCATTTGCAAGGTATTATACATTTTCTGTAAAAGTCACAAATATAAAGTCTGTTTGCCTAAATTCTTTCACTGCCTCTCTCTCTCTCTTTCTCCCTCTCTCTCTCTCAATCTGTTGGTGAAGCAGCCAGCTTCCCAGGCCCATGTGTGCCTCAACATGTGAAAAGGGTGGATTAATGAAACTCCTATGGCTGAGGTTATTCATGCAAAAAGAACAACATTGTGGACAGTGCAGGCCTCCACTCTAAGATTCCCAGCAGCCTTCTGTGTGTGTAGGGGGAAGGGGAAATTGGGTGATGACTGATTATAGTGCTCAAAACACCACAAGCTCAAGTCTAAGAATTGCAAAGTATTAGTGTGTTACAGTCCATTTACTGCTCCAGTAAACTGGCAGTCAGCACTCATTGGATATAGCTGCAGTCCATATTGACACTTACACCCACTGTTTTATTATGTAATATATTCATTACCTTATCGATTTTAATCAGGAAAACCTTCTGATTTTCTTTTCAAATTAATAAAAGTCTTAATTTCTAAAGCCGATGTCACAACAAAATTATATTTTTTGAAATCCAAAGAGGTGAAAGAATGTCCATTTGGAAGCATCCGCAGGTTGAAATCTTGTGTTTTCAGTAAACTTACAAAACAGAAATAGCCCAGGGTTGACACACCGCAGTCAATAATGTATATTTTTTATGAGATATCCAACAGGGAAACTGGCTGGCAAACCATCAGACACAGCTCACTTTATGTGCATGCCAATATTCAGGTATTACACCAAGATTCAAGGCACTCACTTTGATGGGCTCTTTGCTGCTGTTCGCCCTACTGTGTGTTGCTCAACAACTCACAGTAGGGCAAACATTCTTGGCAGTATTTAAACTAACTTCCTTCTCACAGTCTTGACCCATTTTTGTAAATATATTATGTATTTTAGAAAAATAAATATATTTCTGCACATCATATTGTTGTGAGATACAAAGCTCCACCAGGTCAAAAGGTTGTTGTCAGCAAAAACTTGTGTTGGCTCACATGCCAACCATGATTAAACAAGGCCTGCAGTGTTCACCTGGAAAACAAGAATGTGATACATACACAAGTCGCCTTCTCGGGACAACAATGCAGAGATTTGCAGTTTACTCATGCATAATCTCCTTATGTTCTCATTCAGTATGAGTCTGAGTGCTTTACAGGGCAGAGAACTGGGGCCGAGCTTGTCCTTGAATGATGTCCCTTCAACAAAATCTGAACCAAAAATGTTAACTTTATCTCACTGCTCAACTGTGCTGTGGGGCAGCAGCGCTAACCTTTGAGCCACTGCGCTGTCCTTATGGGCATATACGAGATGTATGTGGGCGTATTTAGAGATTGTACTTAATTAACAGCTCTTCATTCTCACACTCTTGCTTCTGTATTACTTAAAAATATGAAAAACACTCACACACACTTCATTATTCTCCTTGGTTCAGCCGATGCTGGAATTCATTAATATATAAAGTCCTCCTTGTTTCACATTAGGAATATACTGCTGTAAAAGCCACTGATATAATTCTTTTTAGACATAGTTATGGTACCTTAAAGTTATAGAAACAAAGGGTGAAAAGTAACCAATTTGTCCAGTTTCAAGTCAGTCATGGTGATTAAACTCGTACAGTATTATTCCTCCTCACATCCCCTTTTTCTGCCTTCTGTTTCTATTGAAAAGCCTTTTAAAATAAGTTTTTACACACATGACAGATATTTTACATTTATTCTGACATAAAGGTGCATGTTATTTTATATAAGAATAGTATTTAGAGGCGGCCTATGTCGTGTGTGCCATATGAGTTTCACGCGTATGGTATTTGAAAGCTGTGAACTTTGAGTAAGGTCCTACAAAGACCTTAAAACTGCAGGAATCTTTAACTGTAATGCTGTCCGGCACGTTATTTTCCTCAGCCATGGTGAAAATGCATACATTCCCAGCTTGCAACAAAAGTGGTTTTATAAGAAGCTCAAGGTATTTCCACTAATCCAGGAGGAGAGTGTTTAAATGAACCGTGGACGGACGCTGAGGGCCACAGAAGGAGGAAAACACCAGCTTGGCTGTCTGCATCCTTTGCACTCACACTTAGTTAGGCAGTTGGAAACACACCTTCACCGGTAACGGGTGTGAAGTCTAATCCACTGCAGGCCTACTGAGACACTTGTTCTGACAATCAGGACCTTAAGCAGTAAAGTAGATCAACATGATTTTTCTAATGGATCTCCAGATGATGCTTCTAGATTTGATTTACTTCATCCTGCGCAGTTCTGTGCGGGTCGTCCTGCGCCCACGCACTAAGCCCATCGATGGCGAGCTGGTGCTGATCACCGGGGCGGGTGGTGGCCTGGGTCGTCTCTTCGCTCAGGAATTCACCAAGCATGGGGCAGAAGTGGTGCTGTGGGACATCAACACCAGTTCCAATGAGCAGACAGCCAAGCTGGTGCGTGAGATGGGGGGAAAGGCGTACACCTACACGGTGGACGTGACCAACAGCGAGGATGTGTATCACAATGCAGACCTTGTGCGAAAGGACGTGGGCCGGGACGTTACAATGCTAGTGAACAATGCAGGAGTGGTTGCTGGGAAGCGCATGTTAGACTGTCCTGATGAGCTAATTGAGAGGACCATGAAGGTCAACTGCCTTGCCCTCTTCTGGGTGAGAAAACTCTTTAGTCAATAGAAAATGTGTTGAAACCTCTTAGATGAGCAGTGGAACATCCTTAAGACCAGACAGGAAGTCCAGCTGCCTGTGATTTATTATAGGGAGGACAGGTATAGATACAGATGTCAGTGCATCACAGACTCATGTGATGAGTGGTGTTCAGTTCAACTCAGAACAGATACTTTGGATAAAACCTCTTAAATGTAACTGTCAGGGGCGGATCTAGAGGAGTGGTATGGGGTGGCAGCTACTTCCCCTAAAGAAATGCCTGGCTACCCTCGCTGTTTCTGTCGAATACTTTTTCTTTTGATTAATTTAAAAATAAGTGTTAAAAAACGTAAATTAACACCTAATTTAATGATCTGTTAAGGCCACATTTAAGACTATGATAAGCTTAAGCTCAATGAAAAAGACACATTTTTGGAAAATGTATGAAGATTTGGAAATAAAAACCATTTATTGATTTCTAATGTCACCTTTAGATATTTAATTTATGTGGCACAATAATGTAATTTTTTTTAGTTCAAATATCTTTATTTGGGGACTTTTCCAAGCAAATATTGATGTTATTGTTTGCGATTAAATAAGCATATATTTCTGCCACCACATCTCCATACCACCTCATCAATATTTCTCTAGATCCGTCGCTGGTAACTGTCTTATACTGTCTGATTAACCTGCTCATCCAAAGCAATCGTTGCTTATCTAATTAAGTTACAGAAAAAAACAGTTGTTGTAAATGACAATCAATTATTGACCAGAACTCCACCAGAAGACCAGAAGTTGCTTTTTCATCGTACACTGAGCCAATAAAGGTCAACATTAGAAAAACTTTCAAATTCAAATCAGGTGTCAAAGCACACTATCAAAACGGTCAAGACAATGACAAACAAGCATTCAGTTTTTGTATTGTATATACAGTAAGTGACTTCAGTGATAAACATTAGGCCTACTCTGTACACATCTGTAATAAGATTTTAATTTAACGTAAAGCCACACAGACATTGACCACTTTGATGGTGTGCCACCTTTTCCAATTGGTTTCCTAACTCTACTTAACTTTTTTTTAAATCAAATCTGATGTTTTGGAGGTGACACACTTCAAGTCGAACACTGACAATGACTCAGCACTGCCTAAAATTTGGAATGCCGGAAATGAAGCTTTTGAATTGAACAGTGTATAATCTTTTCAGCATCAGCTGCTATACCAAGCAGCTTATTGTGCATAGTGTGACGCATGGCATGAAAAATGTATTCTGTTAATATCTTTATCCCCTTCAACACTATGGACTGTATAGGATAAATCCTCTTAATATGAAGCCGCTCGTGCAACATAAGCTTCCTTAAGACTGAGCAACATTTAAGTCACTACAAGCAATATGAGCACTGCACAGTTTGTTGCCTCATAATAGGCTGCTGCAGTATAATAATGCACGTTTAATAATGTATGTGTATGTGTGCTTCAGACAGTGAAGGCCTTCCTGCCTCAGATGAAAGCACAGAATCATGGACACATCGTGACCATCGCCAGCGTCCTCGGCCTCTTCAGCACAGCTTGTGTCGAGGTGAACCAGGGAGGGAGGAACATCACTGTTACAAGAGATGACAGCTTTATTGTCACAGTCTTTCACACAGTTCTGTTTATGTCAACAAATGACAACAAATTTACATATCACAAAAACAGCAGTTTAAGCTCTGTAAATATTCAATACTTGTGCACATGCCGTAATAGATTCTGGATTTTTGTTTGAGACAGGATTACTGTGCCAGTAAATTTGCTGCAGTGGGATTCCACGAGTCTCTGGCCCATGAGCTGCTGGCCGAGGAGGTTGAAGGAGTGAAGACGACTCTTGTGTGTCCCTATATCGTGGACACAGGCATGTTTGCAGGCTGCAAGATACGGTTTGTCATTAAATTACTCCTGTCATTCTTGCCAGTTGAACAGTGATTTAGACCCAACCAAGAATATATTCAGAAATCTGAAAAACACACTGAAACATCCATCACTGTTTGCACATTTGCTTTAAAATACAAGTAAAGTTTTATGTATAAAAACTAGCCCTATGGCAATTTGTGTGTTCCTTCATCCTACAGTGAACCCCGGTCCTTCCTCTAGTTCCTGGCTTGCCTTTGTTCCACTAGCTTCAGGAGTATAATGTATTTTCTAGATTAATGTATTTAAAAGGTTTCTCGCAGTAATTGCCCAGAAATGCTGAAATATTTTAAATTACCCTTTCTACCACTGTACAACAAAAGTGCAGCACGGGAATGTGGGTATGTTGAGTTGGGTACCCATGCTGTTAGAGTGGCTGTCAAAACACTGCATACTAACTCGTAAGTGATGGCACATTTGTCTTTTTGTGCCTAATAGGGAGGAAGTGGAAGTGCTCCTGCCCCCTCTGGAGCCCCAGTACTGTGTTGAGCAGGCCATGAACGCCATCCTGATAGACCAACCGTTAGTGTGCATCCCTCGCCTCACCTACCTGCCTTTTCTCTCCAGAGCGTAAGTACAAAGCCACTTCTAACTATTAACCAAAAAAAAATTAATAATAATTTTGGTGATAGTACAACCTACAATGTACTGTGTAATTCCACTGTGTGAATGAGGTACCAATAAAATACCTTGTGGTTCTTACTGGTGCTTTAATGTGGATACCGTGGAAGAAAACTAGACTGTGGGGTACAAGGGAGTAACAGTTGGACATTTTAGAGTAAAGGAGAAATCATTTTTTGTAAATACTACGTGAGTGGTACAGTACTGGAAAAAAAGTTAAGTTTGGGGAAAATGGTCAGGGTCAGTGGTGTTAACAACAGTGATATTCTGCAGAACAATCACCAACCCAATCAAAAAAATAATTATGGTGCAACACATTTCACAGTTATGCATATCAGCAGGGGTACAGAGAGGTAAGGAAAAGAGGCTTTTTGGAAAATCTGTCAACACTTATTAAAGAACATATAAAAAGCTGTTCTCCACCAATTCTGTGATACAGTAATGTTAGTTTTGGGATACAAAGCTCACATTTTGGAATAATCCGGGACTCGCCAGTCATTTAAGGAGTACAGCGGAGTACTTATAGGGTCAGGGACTAAACAGGTTAAACACTAGCCCACTGCATAGGTAATTTAGCTGACCAGTTTACGGTCTTGGGATTGACTCTAGTACAATAATAACAAGTGCTTTGGCTTTTCTCATTGTGGTTTTCCATTATCATTATTTATAGGTTCTGCAGAATATCAGTGTGGATAATACCATTATTTCTAAACCCTGTAGGTACATTAACAAAAATAATGTAGTTCCTCTAAAAAGGCTGTTTTTTCTTCGTGTGTGCTCTTGTGTTGGTTAAGCCAATGTTCAGTATTTTAAGCTCTACTGCACATTCTCTTTCAGACTGTTGCCGTGGGAATCCAATGTGGTTACATACCGTTTCATGGGGTCCGACAAGTGCATGTACCCCTTCATTGACAGCATGAACAAACAACCAACTAATGGCTCCGTTCAGGTTGCATAATCCTAGCTAAGTGCGGTTAAGGAGTTTGGGAGTCAAAACTTGAAAATCAAAATAAACTGTCATTCAAAGGGTTTATCATATGACGAAAAAAAAATCCTTCTGCTTGTGTGGACAGCAGTGTGCCGAACTGCCCAGCTACAGTCAGGATTTAAGATAACAAGTGGATCATCAGAAGTAATGCAAAGGGCATAATGGAGTGGGGGGGAGGGGCTTTAGATTTTAAGACTGATCATTCAGAAGTGTGTACTAGATGACGACTCAGCCAAGTGGTCATCAGCACCCCAAAAACATTTCAGTAATATTCAGATGAAGTTTAAAGTCCCTTCACACTGTTTTCACCACAAAATACTACACAATGATTGAGTCCTGTATTGACAATAAGGGGAATGGGAGTGTGTTTAATATGTGGAACTTAACAATGTACCAGAATATTGCGCTGTATTATGTTTACATAAAATAAAAATGATTAAAAATCACTAAACAGCGATCTGTGTGCTGCATTGTGTTCTTATAAACTTCACAATATATGAAATTAGCACGATACAAGCACAAAGCAGGGTTGGGTCTTAAAACGGGTTCTGGATTGGAAAGTTATTCAAATGTATAATTACAATGAATTCTTTAAGCAACATGCTTTTTCATGTGTTTTCAGTCACTAATTCCTAACAAAAATGAATTTTCAGTTAGAAATTTTGGACCTACTGCACTGTCTTCCTGCACTTACAAGTGTGGCTACTCTGAAAAAACAGCAGGGATACAGTAAAATGTAATCACAGCCCAAAAATATTTTCATGCAAGAGGACTAGGAGTAGGACTAATGATAAGGCATAAGAATCTACTGTTTAAAATGTTTCCAGTTGTACTCATAATGTCCCAGAATGAGCAGCTGTTTGGGGACTCAATTAAAAATGGAAACAACAAACATCTGCATAAAAAGATCGAGATTATTTACATTTTCTTGATTTTAGCTTTGATGCTTTTTAGCTTCAACATTTCAATTTATTTTCAGTATCAGAGCCTGGACTAGATAAGCATAATCACTATCAGAACTGATCAAATTTCAAACGATACCCTGCATTGGACCCTAGAGCTATGCGGTGTTTAAGCAGTATCTATGGCAAATGTATATAAAACAACATTTTAAATCATCATCACATTCAGTGCAATACTGTCAATCTATGTATAAAATAAATTCTTTCTGCACAGCCCTAGATAACCTGAACATTTTTAGTCCCATATTCCACCACTGGCAGGTAAAGAAAAAGACAAGATGACAAGTCTTTGTTTTGTGCACGTAAGCACGTTAAGTTTAATTACCATGGGGAGCGGAGAGAGAAAAGAAGGTGGACACAAGGGAGGAAGAAGGGAGTATCAGGGAAACTGACGCAACAGGGAAACGTCCCTGCCACACACAGCAGACACGTCACATTACATCACACGCTACATTAAGTCAGAAATTCTTCCCAGCCCTACATGGTAATGTCGATAACACTGGTTAAAGCACTCTAGGAAAATCAACAGAGGTTCGCCAGCTGCACCCTAGACAAAGATGAGGTTCAAACCTTCACAAGATCTAGTTTTAGGAACTACATCAGCGGGGGGATAAAACGTAAAAGACTTAAAAACAAGAGTTAGAAGGTCTCACAGAAAGGAAACAGGTTCTAAGGCAAAACAAAACACAGTTCACAGTTAAATCGCTTCATCTTTTTTTTCACCAAGTAAACCCCCAACTCATTGACTAGGATGCAGCTACTTTTTCTACAATGCAACAAAATAAATAATGTGTACAATTAAACAACATCAAGGGGAAGAAACTATTTTTTCCTATCAATCTTGTTTAACTGTGAACATTTTGGAACAATGAATATGAACAGTGATGGGTTGGGGCCTACAGTAGCTCAAAGCTTCCTGTAGCCTTCTAAAACTGACTAGGAACACAGTGTCAGAGTTTTCTCTAGTGCTTTTACAGACAACCAAACCTGATCGTCTAAACAGTGCCATCCAGGGTCTGTGCCAATGTGCTTGAGTTAGCCTGTTTGAGGTGCAAGTCACCTTCGATGTCCTGCTTGCCACACCTGTGGAAAATAAGTCACACTGTCACACTGTCGACATTTAATCAGCTCCAAAATATTCCTTTGATGGCTGCGTTTACATCAATCTGAATGTATTCCATTTAATTTACCAATCCCATGGGAGTATTTATATCAAATTGATTAATTTGAATTTAAAATTATGCAAAAAAATTGTTTCTTTTGTAGTTTGTTTTAAAAAAACATACAATTATTGATTAAAATCCAATATCAGGTGTGGTGTGAAAAATTGGAGATTTTATTTAAGGCCCTGCCCTACTTGACACGGTCACTAGCTTACTGCAGTGCTGAGCGCTCAGCCTTCGGTTTACGTTCCAAAAATGTATTGAAAAAATAGACAGAGAGCACTGCTAAATGACAAACAACAAAAACCATTGTATGCTGACTGAGGTGTTTACATAAAGCATTACTGAGCAATTACTAATTTTTACTATTAATAGAATGAAAGGCTTAATGTAAACGCAGCTATAAGTAAGCACAGAGACGGTGTGTCACAGCTTACCGAGAGACTGGTCCATTTCCTGTCCTTTCATTTGACTGCTGGTCCAAATCTGACAGCAACTTCAATATATTCAGTGCAGCCTGTAGAGGTGAAGACCAGTACAGTACAGTAGTTACTGCAGTGTCCATCTGTAAGAGGCAACTGACACTCAATTTAGTACAGCTTTGCAAAATAAAGCCTCATTGTCTCTGTAGCTTAAAAATGCAATAGATGTCCAGAAAGCAGCCAACGTACAACTCTCATTCTGGGAACAACTGGCCTTTTGTTGCATCTTTGTAACGGTGTAAGGACATCACATGTCAGCCATTTGCAGCCACTGTAGTTTCTCCTATAGTCTTGGAATGGAAGGGTGAGGCAAGGGGGTTGTAATCAGCAACTAGACTGCTAGAGGCCTCTAAATCCTAAACACCTCGTCACCAAGCTAAACATGTTTCAACTTTGTTAGTAACCGGCAACATGCTAGGAGTGTAGAAGCGTACATGTGTGTGATCCACTCATAGACACTTGCTATCCTTGGTTTCCCTTTATCAACGAGTTCCTGGCCCTTTCTGAGGAATCCCAATACTTCCACATTTCTCATTTGTGGGGAGTTTTTGGCTGCAACGGTGTTCTCTCATAGCCTATGTAGCTCGCACACAATGAGATTCCTCGCAATGAATGTTTTGACAGATACATTCTAGACGTAAAGCTGTTAAGGAGTAAACTGTAGAATAAAGTTTAAAAAAATAAAATAAAAAACTCACCATATCATGACAGGATTCTACATCTTTCCCAATCCCATGACTGATGAGTGGTGGCTGGGCGGAGCAGTTAATCAGTGACACAAACTCATTCTTATTGTTTTTGGGAAAATCTTTGTATTCCACCTGTCAGCAAATAAAAATATTTTTCAATTCATTTGTACCAATTTCAGTCTAAATCTACACTAATGGCCTTACTGAGTTCACCAAAGCAGAACATGCCGTCACGTTACCTGTAGGCCCTGCACTGATGCAAGGTAGCTAAGCTGTTCTGAAGGCCTGGTGAGAGGTCCGTGGGGAAGTTGGTTCATGTTATTTTTGTTCTTTAGGATAGTTTCTGCAGTCAGAGATGTCCCTGCGTAAAGCAGCTCGTTGGCAATCATGGCAGTGATTGTGGCCTTTCCTGGGTTGGGCATAACTCGACTGTAGTCCTTGGCCTGGGATCCTTGGCAGACCCCCACTGCTTGAGCCACCTCAGGGACCATGGGCAGGATACCTGCAGGCAGCTGCTGGTGGCTCAGGTAAGGCAGGCGGAATTCCTCATCCTTGGAACCTTCAAAAGGAAAAGCCCATTTGTAAAGGACATGTAAGCACTACACAAAGAATGTAAGAAATAATACAATATAAGCACATGGCAAATACACGAGTATTTCTACTGACACTCACCCAATGCCACATCCTCTACAGAACCAGGTTCAAAGAAGGTCACTTTACGCCCATCACCAGGTTTTTTCACTGGTGTCTAAATATTACAGAACAATATGTACATGAAGAAATGAAGGTTCTTTGTCTGCCGTGTTTACAAGATTTGCTTGATAAAGGTGTAGCAGTACCTTTTCATCAGTTTTGAGTGCCGGTTTAGGGGGCTGAGGCTGAGGCACTTTATATCCCAAGAGCTCCAGCATTTTCTCTGCTGCGTTCCTCTTGGCCACCTTCTTACTAGGTCCCATTCCCTCTGCATACTGGCCACACACCGTCACCTGCACCAGAAAACATGCATCAAAGAACTGAACGTGTGAGAAATGAGCAAAGGCAGAGGAGACAGAGACAGATGTCCTGCTACCGGCATGCTTCAGTTGCTGTCAAATCACCTGCATGACGAACTCCCTGCGCCGAGGTAGACCTCTCTCTGTCACCATGCTGTACTCTGGTTCCTTCTCCTTCTTGGCCTGCTGGATCTGGGCCAGGCGGCTGATGGGATTCATCCCCTGACCATATTCCGGGCTGGTCTGCAGCTGTTGGTGTGATAGGTTAATCATCACTTAATGAAGGGTCTTTAGGTCTGATGATTCCTATTCCAGTTCATTGGTCACTTTACCTTGATGATGGATTTGGTTTTCTTTTTAATGCGTGGCAGCGTCTTTTCCACACTGGGTATGTGGGGTAGCCTCTTCAGCTCCCCTAGCACCGCTGCTGCTGCCAGCTTCTTGGCAATCTTTTTACTCTTTCCTTCGCCCTCTCCTGTGAATTCCCCGACTGTAACACACACTACAAAACTCTTCATGTGAGGAGGGCCTTCTTCCTTTAAAACCTGGAGAACAAAAGTGATAAATCATGAAGAGGAGCTGGATAAGAAACTGGGCCAAGTCGTACATGTTGTCTACACATCGCTGAACTGTTTTAACATTCATAAAAAGAAATGTATAAATCACCTCAAAGTTGACAGGT